GCCTAGTAGCCGGGACAACTTCTTTATGTTTACAGACGTGACGTAATGATGCAGCGGCATGCTCGAATTTCCCGCGAAAACCTACCCGTACCACTCAAATTAGAAAACATTATTATAAGATAACCATTGTGAAACAGGCTAAAGTAAGGCGATAGTTTTGAACACTGGCTGGTTATGTATTTGCTCAGATATTGATTTTGGATCATTTTTAACCAAAAAAAGTTACCGACTGCAGCTTTAACATGGGACTTTAATGGAATCTACCATTTGAGTGTTTGCATAGTCTCTTCAGCACCTCAGATGAGGAAACACTTTTGGTGTGGTTCTTGTGATTGACCTTTAACTAGCGTGCTAACCATGAAGGGCATTTCAGTGAAGCAGCTCATTAGGGTTTGAAATAGAGCTACTGCATATATGGAGATCTGATACTCTATGATCCATCTAAAACCCTAGCATAACCACCGATACTAGTTCAGAGAGACTCTCACATGTCCACACAAACCCTCAGCTGAAAATCAAACTTCTGTAATGGCTGTTATACATAAACACCCTACTGGCAGATACACACAACTCTGCATTTGCTTTACGGGAAGCATTGATTGGATTACTGCGTGGTTGCTTCATCGATTGGTTTAATTGAGCCTCCATTGGCTGCCAACTGGGTATTTCTGTCAGTCTGGACTGTTGATTGGTCAACTGATTGCTTGATGTATTGGTAGACTGGTTAAGTTTATGGAGTGCTAGAGAAAATTATATTTTGATTGTTGAAGGTAGGTTTTTCTCATCTAGAAATGACTTCTCATTCTCTCGATCTATCTATCTTCCTTAAGGTCACATCCTGCAGTCTCCCTCTGCTAACGTTCTACCCACGTTGCCCTTCCACGTGCTCCGGTCCTTGTTCAGCTCGACTCCCCTCACTACGGATGACGGGCTGCTGTTGAGGCGTATGGCTCTTGAGATCGGTGCCATCCACCTCATCCTGGCCTGCCTATCTGCCCTCAGTCATCATGCTCCCAGAGTGCCCAGCGGCAGTGCCAACTCCAGTGAGGTCAGTGTTAACCCACACACCCTTTATATGCCATTCGGTCCACAAAAATCTTTGTCAACCATTAGAACATTAGAATGTAACCTCACATATTTACATGTCAAAGCTTTCAGCAAACTAAAGAATGACTGAACTACACTGGTACACAGATTTTATCATGGTTCAACCAAAATTTAAATTCTATATGACTTTTATTCCTCCTTGTGTCAGGAACAGAAAGCAATTAAGTAGTTACATGCATACAACCTTCCTCTTAAACTTCACGAGAGAAATAGTAATGCCTGATTTGTGAATGAATCGTTCTTTTGAGTTAAATATTTTCATTGATTCAGTTCACAGAACCGGCGTGAATAATTCATTCACAATCTCACTGTTTCAGTGATTCAGATTAAAATTATAAGTGGACTTCAGGGTAAAATATAATGATAAAAAATGGTACTTAACTGCTGTGTTCAGATAATTTGTGAGTGTGTGTGCAGGGGAAGGAAAAGACACTCCTGTAAAGACCTTAATGGAGATGTTTCTCAGGCTCCGACATGTCATTTTATTAATGACTGTAGTAGCCACTCTTTACAGACTGCTGAAGGGCTCTTTATTCAGAGCCCTTGACTTAATGAGGAGAGGTGTGTGTGTGAGAGAGGGAGAGAACAACCACTCACTCAGGTGTACTGTAGTCCTATTAAAACAGAAGGTATAGAGAGGAGTTGGACAGCTCTTTTAGTCATTACATGATTATGAGGAGTTTCACGTGGCTGAAATGAAAGAGTCTTCACAAAGGACAACTGCAGCCCAATCATAATGAGAAAATAATGAAAAAAACGACCCATCATCAGACCTCCAATACCAAAGCAAATTACTTTTTCATAAAAATCATTATTCAGCCCTCACAGACAGGTTTTATTAAAATGAATTTTTTAAATTCCAGTTTTTAAGAGAAAAAAAAGGGTATAAATGATGCTCTGTGCAGGGCTGTGTGTATGTGAATTTATAGTTTGGTAAGGGGTGGGTTCAGGGCTGAGGATTTGAACAGTGGCCAGTGGCCTGTCAGAATCATAATGGGCGTCCTTGGGGCGGCAGAAGTATTGGCAGAGCAAATATTAAACCCTCTCACTCTCAGCCAAAGAAGAGCACTGCAGTCAGCGCATATTTATTCTGCTCTCTCTTTCACTCTCCTATTTATCCCTCCTTCAGTATTTTCACTAAAGATCTGCACAGTCAAACAATGAATGTTTGTGATACTCAAGCTGGTTTGAGTCCAGCATGCAACCATTTCTCTATTTTCCTCCACGCTACCTCCAATAATATCATGTGAGCCAAAGTAAAGTACACACTATGGAATGCCAACTGGTTATTGGAGTGTTGCATTATGGGAAATGCACCACTCTTCTTTTTACCGTGATACTAGCTTGTTATTCATTTGATGGACAGCTTCTGACCTCATTGTTTCCCCTCATAATGTTGTGACATGCTGTCAGTCTTTAGAGCAAGCAGTAAATTTCAGCGTCGTGTCTGGAACAATCAATGTCAAAAACCAGAGTGACAAAGTGTGTGTGGAAGAGAAGGACTTGGAAATGCATCCTCCTGTCCTGTCTTTCAATCTCTCTCATTTGAACAAAATTTTTTTTTTTTGTTTGTTTGTTTGAAAGAAGAAATTAATATTTTTATTCAGCAAGGATGTTTTACATTGATCAAAATTGACAGTAAATACATTTATAATGTTAATGATGTCCACAAAAATATTAAGCAGCACAGCCGTTTTCAACACTGATAATAATCAATCAAATCAGCATATTGGAATGATTTCTGAAAGATCATGTGATACGGAAGCTTGCAATAATGGCTGTTGAAAATTCAGCTTTAAAATATATTAAAACAAAAAACTGTTGTTTTAAATTTGTAATAATATATCACAATATTACTGTTTTTCCTTACATTTTGATCAAATAAATGCAGCCTTGGTGAGCATAGGAGACTTGAAGAATGATGAATGATTGGCTAAGATGTTAGCCAATCAGAGTTCATTAACATGTTAGAGTACAGTAGAACAAACCTATTGATGTCAGAGATTTTCAGTTTTCATGTACAACTAAATTGTGACTGTTTTGATGAATGACCTGAGAGGATGAGAGAAAAAGGGTTAAAAGATCAACTGTGAAACCTACAGTTGAGTTTGTGTTTGTGCTGCAGCCGCAGGTCTCCAGCGGGCATGTTGGTGGTACCACAGAGGAACAGCAGCTGTACTGGGCCAAAGGAACAGGCTTTGGGACAGGCTCCACTGCGTCAGGCTGGGATGTCGAGCAGGCTCTGACCAAACAACGTCTGGAGGAGGAACACGTTACCTGCCTCTTACAGGTGTGTGTGCATGGAAGTAATGCAAGTGAGATTTAGATTTTACACCTGTTTGGATATGTGAGGGTACATACTGTGTCTCTGACAGGTTTTGGCGAGCTATATCAACCCATCAGGCTGCATAGGATCTGGTGAGACCCTCTCAGGAGAGGTCAGAGGTCACAGCAGCTCACTGTTGCCATCTGTCCTGCAGGAACTGCTCAGCCAGTCCTGTCTCATCCCTGCCATGTCTTCATACTTACGCAATGACTCAGGTAGGACACGTGGCACACGTGGGATGTGCTCTGTGCTTTACTGTTTGCAAAATGAAAATGAACAACTTTTAAGGTGGTTAATGATGATGCGGTGTATCATCATACGTTCTACCCTGTGCCTCATTGTGTATGGAGACGGCAGGTGGAGCCCCTGTCTCTTCTGAGTGGTCTCTCTATCTCTCTTTGCCTTTGTCAACCATGTTTTTGTTCTCAGGCATTAAAGGGATAGTTCCAATGTTGTTCCAGTCCTGTATTTTGGAGGAATTCTTATGCTACATAAAGAAACTGAATAAGAATAACAAAAAGCACAATCAAAGTATCATTGAAGTAGTTCACATGACTCTATATACTATATTCCAAGAGTTCTAAAGCCATATGATAGCTTTGTCTGAGAAACAGACTGAAATGTGCTTCGCTCAGTCACTTTACTTTGCATGTTTCTGCAATGTTCGATTCCTGACCAAATCAGTCTTTTAAATTAAATCTGTTCAATTAACCTTTTGATCCAGTTCACAAAACTGTGTGAATGATTCTTTCATAAATCAGACTGATTAGGTTCTTAAGTTCAACTCACTGACTCGATCCAGTAGCACAGTTAACAGCCGAATGGAGGGGAGGAATATTAGTGCATAACAGCCTGTTTATCACGATAAAGGCTGGAATACACTACATGGCTTTTGTCTCGATTTCCAGTCTCGAAGAGTCTGTGCTATTTGTCAAAATTCAGACCTGGGCTCTCATTTATCAACAGTGCGTACACACAGATGTGTGCGTAATGAGTGCGTAAGAACAGTTTCACGCAAAGTGTGGGATCTACCAACTTGTACTTAAACGTAGAAATGTGTGTAAATATAAGCACACCTCTGAGCATGCTTACGCAGAGAATCTAGTGGTAGAATAGCGACACTACACATAAAAAGCATTTAAGTGTGTCACAGTATGCATTAAGCAATCCACATATGTCCTGTGTTTCCTTTAATTATGAAACATTCAATTTATCATTTGTCTAGTTTTAAACAGACAAGTTGTGTAACTGCTGTCAAACCCTATAAACGACAGCTGTGGCAAATGTTTGTCTCAGACTGTGCAATGGCTTATCTTGCGTTATTTGAAAACTTGGCAAACAATGCGCTCTGCAGAGAACACGTTTTCAAAGACCGTGCTGAGAGTGAGAGCACAGAATGGCTTCTCAGTCGGTACCGCTTTCTTTCCCATGATTTCGGTGAGGACACATACATTCACGTGATTTATAAAGGGAGGTGTTGTCACCATATATGGTTAATTGGAGGCGTTTCCGAATGCAAATGACCGTGAACGTGAACGAGCATGGTACTTACGCACATGTGGGATTTATCAACAATGATTGCTTACTCATGTGCGTAAGAACTGCGTGCGCACGTTTGATAAATACGGATTTTCTTGTACTTAGGCACATTCTAAATTTCATTCGTAGGACAAAATATAGAACCTTTTCTATGCACTGTTGATAAATGAGGGCCCTGGTCTGCAGATTTTAAGCAGTCGGAGTTGACAGATTTCATAGAAAATTGCATAGTGTATAATGGGCACAATTTTTTTTTAGCTTCAGTCCTTTATTTTATCCAGCAGAGGACATCAAACATTTTGATATTTTGAGCTCACATTGTTTTCATTTGTCATGTTTCAGATGATTCTGTTGAAGTGTATTGTGTTTGGAATGAATTTAAAAATCTGTTAGTGTGTGATCCTCAATCATTTACTGCATGATGCCCAGTTTTTCTCTGCAACCATTTGCAAAGTCACAAGTATGTGATGCCTGGTGTTTTAAAATCTGGGCAGGTTTTAAAAATTGTGCAGTGTATTCCAGCCTTGAAGTTATTGTATGACTTCATAAGACCTTGAGTATTGAACACTGGTCCTACTGACCACCATTACAAAACTTTTATGGTTGTTTTGTATCCTTTTTGAAACCATTCCCCATTCATTCTATTTAAAAAAAACAATTGCTGATTTTTTTTTCTTTTTGAATTTGTGGTTTAAGAATTTTCAAAGGTCAAAATATTGCCTGTAGTATCTCAATTCATATGAACTAATCAAACTCAGTATTTCCTTTGTTTTAATAGCCTTGAACAAACACTGCTTTGTTGATTTAAAGAACCAGACAGTGGTGTTTGTGTTGTGCGTGCAGTGTGTGTGTGTGTGTGTGTGTGTGCGCACGTGCGCTGTGTGTGTTTATTTCTCTCCGGCTTAATTAAATAAGCTCAGATAAAACGATGAGTGTCGTAATTAGCTCTAGATATCAGCTGGAGGTTTCAACCCTACATTGGCATGGTGTGTGTTTGACTCAAATCAACGAGAACAACATACACACACACACAAACATTCTCTCTAAACACACTCAACCAGCAGGGGGAGCAGCAGTTGGTCAATCTCATGAACAACTGAGCCAATAAAAGATTGAGAGAAACACACACACACACACACACACACCATGTTAAGGAGTGTGTGTTTTGAGCCCTGAGATCCTTAGATGTCTCTGTGGTAGTGAAACAGGAAATAAGCGTCTCCGAACAGCCCTGCTGTAATAACGCCCCATCCACCTGATGAACACGAGGGAGAGGAGATGAGAAGAGATGGACTACTGCTTCCAAAAAGCATTAAGAAACAGCCAAGGGGCAAATAACAAAGAGTACAAGATTACAGTGTAGAGCACTTTGTGTATATGGACAGCCACAAGCACTTATTTTCATTGAGGAAGTGAGGTCTGTTCTGGCTCATACAGGTTCTAGCAGTCTGTCCAAACTCTCATCGTCTCTCGCTCCCTATCCGGCACGTTCATTTAATACCTTCTCTCAAAGATTGTTATACTCCTTCCTTTCTCTCCCCCCAGAGGGGTCATCAAACCCGCTGCTTCTCTCGACTCCATCACCTCTTAGGCATATTTTTACGTAACCTTCTGGTAATCTAATGGCAATACTGTTGATGAATATTGCAGTAATTCTTTTTTGCATTGCTTTTCGGTTTGAAAAATTCAAGAATTATGATTTATGTGAAGATTTTGAATGGAGAATTGGACAGTACCATGACAATTTGGGGGGGCAGAGAGTGTTGTAATTGTGTGAAATGGGCCTTTTACACCTGGGTTTGAAAATAAACAACAAAAAAATGCCAACGTGAACTATTTAAGAAAATGCATCTTACAGTAGTCAGAAGAGAAAAAGGTGCTATGAAGGCAATATTGAAAGGTGATATTTTTTTAAGAAATTAATACTTTTATTCAGCAAGGATGCATTAAATTGATTGAAAGTGACATTTATTATGTTACAGAGGATTCCTGTTTTAAATAAATGCTGTTCTTTTGATCGTTTTTTATTCATCAAAGATTCTTGAAAAACATTACCTTTTCTAGCATCTAACACTCACTTAAATTTAATATTTAGCACCAAAAACTGAATAACATTGGTTAAAAGTAAAAAAAGATTTTTTTTCCACCGTTGACTTTCTGATTTGACATGATTGACTTTCATTGTATGGATCCTCAAGTTGTTTTTTTAAACAATTGATTTGTTTAGTCATATCCAATCATTTAGAATGCTAGCTAACTGATAAATAAAACAGGAAAATCATCATTTATCATTATTTTTGTGTACAAAGATCAAGCATACGTGTTAATTCAGGTCTGTAGGACATGCAGTTGCTCTCTGTGCTGTTTATTTCCGTTTACTTCATAGTCCCTTGAAAGCTGTTTTCATTACAGGGATATCACACTCGCCTACACACGGCACCCCTGAAATATGCTGTAAGGCTCATGTTCGCGTGCGTTTGAAACAGTGCTGACTTGGTGCAATCATTAAGTAGGGCAGGTTTTTGAGGTGCTAGAGTCTTTTCCCTGAGTGTACATAGAAATTATCACAGTGTTCTCTCGTTCCTCTCTTCTTCCACCCCCTCAATATTGCTCCCTGTTCACTCCATCTCTTTTATTTATCTAGTGGTCTGCCTACGGAGACATTTTAAGGCATCATTGCTGTGCTTTTGAAGTTAAGACGTTTGAAAAAGGTAGGGACTTTAATTATGCCACCTCGTTTTAGCTGAATTCAAAGGAGCTGTTGATTATATCCTTTGCAGAGAAGGCAATCCCAGAATGCATTGAGATGCACCCCGAATTTAATTCAAGATGCTGGGCAAGACGAGAGCTGTTGATCAGTATTGTGCGAGTTGTGTAATTTTATCCTTATTAGAATATCATGCTCTTAGCTCAGCAACTTTATAATGTCAGTCTCTGTTGTCTCCAAAGTTATCATTTGTAGCCTATGTAGAGTGTTCCAAATCAGTCACTTATGAAGCTTCATGATGGCTAGGATGCTGCCTATGTAGGAAGAGAAGCAGGTTTGGAACAGAGCTCCTGTACAAAAGGTGGTAAAGGTAATGCTTTGTCTTTAGTCTGTGTGTCTCTGTGTTGATATATTGGCCTGCGAAGAGTGGATATGCGAATAAAGCAGTTGTGATTCATGTCTTTGACCACCGTGTCACGTGTAAACCTCACGGGGTGACTTACACAGGACTGTTGACCCCAGGAAACGCATATCCCCCTGCATTATGCCTGCAAGCTGTATCTGAACTGAATCATAAGTTCCTTATTCATACATGTGTGTCAGGAGGCCATGTCCATCAAAATGCTGGAAGTGCGTTATTTCTATTATTCTGAGGTTTGGTTAAGCTCTTAGGATTGGCAAAAGTGGCTCTACTGGGTGCTTTTTGCAGGTAGGCCTGGGCGATAAAACGGTATCGATATTTATCGACGGTACACCTTCATCGATAACGATATAAAAAATGTTCGATATAGTGCACGATATAGGCATGTACTATGAGTGATGCAGACAGCTCACACAAACACAAACACATGCTGAATTGAGTGCTGTGCCTGCCTGTGATGAGGAGATTGTGAATAAAAACATTAATATTAGTCGAATTTAAAATAAACATTTGCATTTGAATGCAAAAATGGTACAATCGAATGTTAG